CTTCATCGGACAAAGTAAAGTGACTAGACCTTGTGAAGTGCTGGGTATTATTTCTACTTCTATGCATCGCGTTTCTTTCAGGACACAGGCGATCATGGCTCTCCACAACAGAGCTTAGCAGATATTTTTTCCTTTGCTAAAGCGCCCACCCTCAGTTCCATTATTCCTTCACACAAAGCTCAACAGTTAAGTGGTACTGCTTTCCCCCTATCACTTGGGTCCTGAGTATACCCCATGAGAGTTACGTTTTCCAAGCTCTCTTTTTTCATCATGTTTCCATGTATCCAAAGAATTTTAATTTTTCCTGATTCTGAGCAGAAGTATTCTTTCTGTTAGTATTTCCTTTGAGACTGAGAATGAAGCATTTTCGATTTTCCATTGCACAGAAATTCTCATCATTATAGTAATTGGCAGATTTTAGAAATTTGTCATTATATTAATTTCAGTAATTCGTCATTATAGTAATTTGTACATTGTACTAATGTGTGCTTTTTTTCAAAATGAAATTATTCGCTATTCTTCAGTCCTTTTAATGATAATTTTAATAATTGTATATTACTAAATGTGTGTCTTTTTTGTATTCCTAAAGACAGTAAATTAATCTCGCTAAATTATTTTTCTAATAAAGAATTATCAGGAGATTAAATGAGAGGTATTTTAGCATTCATTAAATACGTCTTCTTTAAACAATAAGTATGACTTCTTAACAGATATACTCAAATACATGATATAGATATGCAGTGGGAAAGTTAATGCTTAACTCTGGTAAACAGAACTCGTTAGTCTGGGAGGGAAATTCGTCTAAGAAAAAAGATTTCTGATCTTAAATATCCGCAACCTTTCTCCCAAACACAATCAAAGGAGAGATATCGTGTGTTAACCCAGAATCTGAAATCTGGAGCTGAAACCCCAGAGACAGTTCGTCGTTAAAACCAAGTTCATTCCAGCAAGTTCTGTGCCTTTTACTTGGTCAACATCAGCATTGCTTCGTCTACGTTCGATTGGTAAAAAAGCTGCTCTACAAACATCAGTTAAAATTTTAAAAAAATCATGGCGCATGCCTATGGTCTATTGAGGCCAATGGATTCCAGACTTTTGGAATCATAACGAAAAAATATTGAAATGGCGGAAATGTTGACAATTTCATCAAATTAATTTCTATGAGGTAAGTGAATGACAACGTAGAAACATTTCTATGCAAAGCGTTTCGTCCTCTAAAAGAATTTATGAAACAAAATTAATGTCCTTATTGAGGCAAGTATATGTATGTAAGTGGAAAAGGAGATATAAACGAAAGAGTTGGTTATAATTCTATACCAATGGGGAACATAAATGAGATAGGAAATTTGAATTTTAAAGTTTCCGGCGTTCAGTATGTCTACAGGTACAGCGCAGACGATCTCACTCTTATGTTTTTATAGCTATTGTTTTCTTTTAATATCCCGCACTGTGACAGCCAAAGATTTGTCAAGAAAGATGAAATATAAGAACTTGGTTGCAAGTTTATCGTGGGAAATTCAGAAATCAGTGTACTTTCTATATTTTTCAATCTTTCTAAAGTAATTCCGCTTTCAATTAAAGCAACATCTTATGAATTATATTATAATAACTCTCATTTAATCTCCTGATAATTCTTTAAAAAAAAATAATTTAGCATGACTAATGCGTTGAGGGTTTTGTTTCTTTTTTTACCATATATTCTTTAATTTAAATTCATTGGACTCATTTCTATTTCGTTTCTATGGTGATCCTCACAAATTATTGTGTAAATTCCTATTTCTTGTTTTAGATTGTGGTTATTTTGCTTTCTATTTTCCACATTGTCATTCCATTTTCTAACATTGTTCTGTTACATAGACATTTATATATCATTTAGTTTTTAAATTCATAATGGAAACCTAGAGATTCTGCCTGCATTATGAACTCTCAAGGAAGAAATAAGTGTTCTGGTGAGTTTTGAAAGGTTGATGTAATTTTTAAAAGGATAGTAAGACGACTTAACAAACTGAATTCTGATCGGAACGAGTCGTAGCGTATTTTCTCGACATATTTACACTTTTAGACCATTTTAAACATTGATCTGCAATTACAGTCTATGTATAAAGCCAAACCTATAAAGTAAAACTGCGCTTTTCTATGGTCTGACATGGTAAGTTTATTTGGCTGTTACCGTCACAGCTTAACTTCCGGTGATTGGAGCTGCTTCCATGCACCAAACTACAAACGCCTGGCATTAAGTCTATTGCTTGAACATCATTTTGTTTATTAGTGCAATTTTAACACAGCGGGGCGCTTACCTGCAAATACCTTAAAAGAGCTTCTGAGAAAAATATTAAGACGCACTAATCTAAACAAGTGAGCACAAGATAATCAATTATTGCTAAATGTTGAATTTGATTCCCGCTAGGAAATACTGGAGTTCTGAATCGAACTTAATGTTCCCAGGAACCTTTTTTCTAAGGGAAGTTCATCTGTGGTCACCGCAATATGTACTTGGTTCCCTCTAAGAGACATCAAGGTAAGTTTTTGTACTCGGTGTATCATCAGAACGTCACAAGAGCCAGGGGCCTCATTCGGTTAAGATAGAAGCGACCTCATAGCAAAGAAGTGCAGAATCGAGGCTCAAACGGTGTCAATGCGTTAACCGTCTTAAGTATTATTGATCCTGGCATGGCGCCTCAGGTTCATTCACTTTCCCGCCCACCGTCGCGTAGTTTCTTTCTTTCAGTTTTGCAGTTTCCGTTAAAACACTTCCCAGCGATTTATATTGTACTTATTTCATGTTGGTATTTCCAATTTGTAACTGGCATATTATACTAATGTACAGATATTCTTAATTTGATTGTAATCGTGATGATTCATTATTTCATCTGTAAGTATATTGTCCAGAATGTACTGCCATATGAGAGGAATTATATTACATAATACTTCGGTACTCTTCTTTGTTTTTAATGTAATTTGTCTGTTTCTTAATACTTTGCTTAGATTTTGGAAGACACCTTTCACTATCCCAATACGACATCGGATTTCAGTCTCGCACTTTCCTTCTTCTGTTAAAACAATTCCCAGATATTTAAATTGTTGTAGTTGTTTGATGCCAAACATTAAATGCCAAAGTCTTCTTAAACATATGCACATATTTTAAATATCTGCGCAGTTCATATTCCTTAAACATGTGCATATTTCATATCGCTAAAATATATCCGCATATCTTATTATGCATCTTAAGCAATGTACATAGAAAATACCTCTTTAATAATGCCACTAAATTAAGATTAGGATATCAATAGATGAGCTGGTTTTGTTTGAAAAAAAAAAATAAGACATTTTGTTTCTTTAAAACTTTATAGTTTATTGAGAATATTGCTTAACTGAATTTATTTCAGTGTTACTAAATATTTTTTTTTGTTTTTCATTCTTAAAATTTGTAAAAATATTTTAATTTTTATTGAGCTCTGCCTGCTATTTCTTTCTTGCTAAGATTTTTAAAAAAATTTAAAACCGTTTTCAACCGTTTTTCTCAAAAATAGAGAGATTGGAACTATTGTCATGTATAGTGTATAATAATAATAATGAAGAATATAAGAGTATACACATATTTAATCGTATTAATAAATGTTTGGCTGTACCTGCAACCTCAGTGGGATTGAGAGATCTGTCAGCTTATAACAAAGGACATTATAGAAAATATATATAAATATATGAATTGTAATTTTTAATTTAGTTCATGTAAATGGGCAGGATGTTGGTTGTGGTGTAATGGATATCGGCTCAGGTTAAGAATTCGGAGTGCCAAGTTCTAATTCCAGTCAAGTTCTTGGGAGAGGTATGAATCCATCTCTTCTCCTCCTCCAAATTACGGATTGAATAGCAGGAGAGACTGGGTTATTTATTCTTGGTTAGCAACCAGGCTACCAGAAAAAATGGCAATCTACTGCGGGGGAAAAATGTGCCTCGTCACTTATGTATCGAAAGATACTTGATCGTCCAAACGAGTATCACGTCTGGTACATAACTGACTGACTGAGATACACAGTATAACCGAAAATGGTATATTATTTCTTCCGAATTCAACAAAGAACAAAGACTACCATATCCAATAAAAGACAGCCATTTCCAATAAAAGACCATCAGATGCATGAAAAGGGGAAAATAATCTTTCGTCGTTGTTTTTCAACCTATTCAGCGAGGCAATTTTGAGAGAACTAGAAGTCCCACCAGGATTCAGCATTGTCGGTCACAATCTTAACAACATAAGATATGCAGATGATACAGTACTGATAGCAGACATGGAAAGGAATCAACAAAGTTTCCTACAGAAGGTAGCGAAGGAGAGCGAGAAGAAGTGACTAAGCATAAACTACAAGAAGACAGAATGCATGTTCATCAGCAAAAAGATGAGCTCAGAATGCAAATTAAAAGTCTGGGATACTAAAATCCAGCTGGTACAGAAATTTAAATATCCAAGAAGTATTCTGACAGATGACAGAAAGTGCCACACTGAGATCCAAAAACATATCAGGAAATTACATTCCAAAAGCTGAGCAGAGTATTAAGAGACAAGAAAAGATTACTGAACTGATACGTGATATTTGTCCTCAAGTATGACAGCGAATGCCGGACAATCGCCTCAAAGATGAAGAAGAGACTCGAAGCAGCAGATGCATAGTTCTATTGAAGGATGCTAAGGATACCATTGACCGAACATCTGAGTAGCGACGAGGTTTTGGAGAGAATGGAAACAAAGATGAAACTTATACTTAACATTAGGAAGAGGCAGTTGAAATTTCTGGGGCACGTAATGAGGAAGGAGGGCTTGGAAAATCTGATACTCACAGCACGGATAGAGGGAAAAAAGAAACAGGAAAATGCATCGCATGATTTACCGTATAGACTTTAGCAAATGGATAGCAGAACAGGATCTGTGAGAAATAACAAAAAAACAAAACTTATTAAGAGCTAAAACGGACAGGAGGATGTGGAGGACCATGAGCGCCTACACCGGGAAGAAGTCTGATGGATTGTCCAGGTAGGACGAATACAGTTCGAGATAGATAGATAGATAGATAGATAAATAGAGTAAATATACAGTGTGCCATGTGTTTAAATAGTAAATACTTTGTGCGGATAACATCGACGAGTTTAGCATTATTCATTTTTGTTTTTATTCCAGCTCCGTGCTGGTTACTTAACAGATAATTTTTTTTTAAAAAAAAAGAACACAAAAAGGACCAATTGAAATGGAAGAGGAAATATTCAAAAGTTGATAAGAAAAGCAATGTTTTATGGAAGAAATTCGACAAACGCAAAACGACAATAATTAGCAGCGTTGAACAAAGACAACTTGAAAGGAAACCGAAAACGAAGTGAAAACGTTCGGAATATTCGTGAGAATCGATCTGCGTAGAGTCGGGCACTGAGCCAGGAAACAATTTTGTAAAATACCATATGTAGATAAACAACTTGCAGGTTGGAGAATTGTTTGAAAGAAAATGAAAAAAATGAATACCAAAATAAACGAAACAAAACAAAGTATACTGAAAAGAAGACCTATATGTGTGAGTATACATACATATATATATATATATATATATATATATATATATATATGAATAAATAGAGGTTTATGGTATGCTATATTTATAGATAAAAGTGCTCAATATCAGTGACAGACCGTATATAAATAACAAAGTAGACGCCGAGGCCAACACCGAGCGGCGACAGTCTATCTTATGCCTGAAGACTCTCTCTCTCTTTCTCTCTCTCTCTCTCTCTTTCTCTCTCTACACACACACACACACACACACATATATATATATATATATATGTGTATGGGATGGACGAAATAAAGCAAAATCTCAGGAAAACAAAAGAGCGTCTGATCGGAGATACACATACACACACGTATATACACACAAAACGCACACACACATACGCACACGCACACAAACACACACACACACACACACACATATATATATATATATATATATATATATATATATATATACTTTCAGATTTTTTCCTTAGTTTTTTTGCTGTAATTAAATATATATATATATATATATATATATATATATATATATATATATATATATATATATATATATATTACAGCAACAAAACAAGGTCTAAGGAAAAGGAAGCCTGAGCGTGGAGTATATATTGTTAATATTGAAACAAAAACACACACATGTGTGGTTGTGTGTTTGTCTGTGTATGCGTCTATAAATAGGTAGTTTTAACTTTTCCATGTGTTTAGAAGAGTAGTGATCACGCTCGGAGATAGACTGTTTATAGATATAGATATTGCATGGTGACGGATAGTTTCCCGTTTCAGTGTCATCGTCAGACAACTTTGCTGACATGAGGCGTGAAATTGATAGTCATCATATACAATTTGTTCCTATGTCCACGCTGTTTATCTATCTATCTATCTATCTATCTATCTATCTATCTATCTATCTATCTAAATTAGTTCTTGAATGTATTCTGGTTGATCCAATTCTCAAAATCTGGACAATTGACGAAGTATCAAATGATTAGCATTTTTACATCATTCTTAGCTGGCCCGAGATCATTTCAGCGTTCCAAGTATAAATAATAAGTAAAAAGTATAAAAATATCAAATCCAATGTTATATAATGTTCTATAGATGTATTGTCCAACAAACTTAGCTCTTCTGATAGTTTTGAGTACTGGTACTCGAGTTGTCCTTGATGTTGAATCTTAAAACAGACTGAAGGTCGTCCAATTTTAGTCTTTGTTTTGAGGGAAACGTTGCCAATCGTTGAACTAATAGGCTTGTTTTGGGCAACACGGTTTGATTTCTCATATGCCTGTCTATATATCCACTCTTCAAGAGACTTGATTTTGCAATCAAATATCCGGTAGTGTGCATGTAATTATAGAAAGCGCGAATATATATATATATATATACAGTGACTATTACTGCTAATAATGCAAGATTCTCCCAACGGATTGAGTTCTCTAGGTCACTGGCGTGTTTATGAAAAAATGAATACGCAAAAATTCGCCGTTCTCTCTGCCGAGACGATAGCCTAGGGGTTAGAATCTCCGACTGATGCCAAATCGCGTTTCGGTCCCGGTTTGAAGCAATCAAATGTCTAGCCACACTGATGAGCTGTAATACAGCGAAACAGTCTGTCTGTAGATGACGATATAGACATATTAGAGATTTAGTTAACTAAATAGATAGATAGGGAAAGAGAGAGAAATATAGCAAGAGAGGGAGGGAGAGGGAGAGAACGGATACCTAAGCAGAGAGAGAAAAATGAAGGTGACAGACCATAACATTAGTCTAATTTATCACGACCACAATCGTAGAGCACATCTTCGACGTCCAGTTCACTGGGAAGTACTTGCTAAAAAATGCTGTCTAACAGCCGATATCGGCTATACAGTGATTCTTCGATGAAACTACCACATTTCAAAACAGTATCAGAATGAGGCAAAATAAGATTAAAACACCTCACCTAT